GGCCGGGGGGATAGGGATATGGGGACAGGGTGGAGGACAGGGACGTGGGGACAGGGGAATATGGGGACACACTGGGGACAGGGATATGGGAACAGGGGAATATGGGGAACAGGGACATAGGGATGGGGGACATATTGGGGACAGGAACATGGGACAGAGACATTGGGGTAGATTGGGGAGAAGGACATGGGGATGGGGGACATACTGGGGACAGGAACATGGGACAGGGACATTGGGGTGGATTGGGGACAGGGACATTGGGATGTGGAGAGTCATGGGGACACATTGGGGACAGGGGGATAGGGATATAGGGACACATAGGGGATGGGGGCAGGAGGACATGGGGACAGGAACAGGGGGATAGGGATATGGGGACAGGGAGAGGGGGACACATGGGGACAGGAATTTGGGGATATGGGGACAGGTGGATGCACTGGGGGCAGGAACTTGGGGACGTGGGAACGCACTGTGGGTAGGAATGTAGGGACAGGGACATGGGGCAGAGACATAGGGACGTGTTGAGGACTTGGGGGGTGAGGGGGGCAGGGCTATGGGGACCCAGTGAGGACGTGTTGGGGACAGGACCTGCAGAATGCAGTGGTGATGTTTTAGGGCCGGACACTTTGCGGCCCCATAGGGGAAATGTGTGGGGCCGCGGCTGCTTCCTGCAGCTGTCAGCACCAGGAAGGGTGTGGGGGGGCGGGGAGGGCTCTGAGCTTCCTCTCCTCTCCCTCTGCATGGAGGGGGGGTGGGGAAGTGGGGTGTGGGGCGGCCCCATAAAGGACATCCCCCACTGCAGTGGGGTCGGGGCTGTGGGGCGGCCCTGTGTGCTCTGTGGGGTGGGGCTGCACCTGTGGCGTGGGGCTCCTGCACTCAGAGTGTGGGGTTCTTGGGGTTCCTGTACCCATAGGGTGGGGCTGTTGGGTTCTGCACCCATAGTATGGGGTTCTTGGGTTTCCTGCACCCATAGGGTGGGGTTCTGCACCCATAGGGTGGGGCTGTTGGGTTCTGCTCCCATAGGATGGGGTTCTGTACCCATAGGGTGGGTCTGTGGAGTTCTGCACCCATAGTATGGGGTTCTGTACCCATAGGGTGGGGTTCTTGGGGTTCTGCACCCATAGGGTGGGGCTGTGGGGTTCTGTACCCATAGGGTGGAGCTGTTGGATCCTGCACCCATGGGGTGGGGTTCTGTACCCATAGTATGGGTGTATGGGGGTATGGTGTTCTGCACCCATAGGGTGGGGTTCTGCACCCATAGGGTGGGTCTGTGGGGTTCTGCACCCATAGTATGGGGTTCTGCACCCATGGGGTGGGGTTCTGTACCCATAGGGTGGGTCTGTGGGGTTCTGCGCTCATAGAGTGGGGTTCTGCACCCATAGGGTGGGGCTATGGGGTTCTGCACCCATAGTATGGGGTTCTTGGGTTTCCTGCACCCATAGGGTGGGGTTCTGCACACATAGTATGGGGTTCTGCACCCATAGGGTGGGGCTGTTGGATTCTGTACCCATAGGGTGGGGCTGTTGGATTCTGCTCCCATAGAATGGGATTCTGCACCCATAGGGTGGGGCTGTGGGGTTCTGCACCCATAGGGTGGGGTTCTGTACCCATAGGGGTGGGGTTGTGGGGTTCTGCACCCATAGTATAGGGTTCTGCACCTAGAGCATGGGGCTGTGGGACTCCTGTACCCATAGCATGGGATTCTGCATTCATAGTATAGGGTTTTTGGGGTTCTGTACCCATAGGGTGGGGCTATGGGGTTTTGCTCTCATAGTATGGGGTTTTTGCACCCATAATATGGGGTTCTGCACCCACAGTATGGGGTTCTGTAGCTATAGGGTGGGACTATGGGGTTCTGCGCCCATAGGGTGGGGCTGTGGGTTTCTGCACCCCCCTCACAGCCCAACCCTATTCCTTGGCAGCCCTGCAGGGCTTTCTTCCTGCCCAGCCCCATTGCATCACACAGCTTCATTAGCATTAGTTCGTTAGTGTCGGTTGGTAACGAGCTCCACGTTCCCCCATTGGTGTCACCACCACAGCACCATCAGTCCCCGAGGAACCCCCAAACACCACTGCTGTGGCAGAGGGATATGGGGTCATAGGGGATATAGGGATATGGGGACATGGGAATATGGGGTTATAGGGTCCTGGGGATATAGGGACATGGGGATATAGGGTTATAGGGATATGGGGACATGGGACGTGGATATAGGGCTATAGGGACATGGGGCTATAGGGACATGGGGATATAGGGTTATAGGGTCATGGGGATATGGGGACATGGGGTCATGGGGATATAGGGTTATAAGGACATGAGGATATGGGGATATAGGGACATAGGGATATGAGGTTATAGGGACATGGGGATATAAGGCTGTAGGGACATGGGAGTATAGGGTTGTAGGGTCATGGGGCTATAGGGTTATAGGGACATGGGGATATGGGGCTATAGGGACATGGGGACGCTGGGACATTGAGATATAGGGACATAGGTATGCAGGGACACAGGGACCCCATTCCCAAAGCACCCAGGGAGGTGTGGGTCAAGCAGAACCCCATGACCCCGTATCCCCATGTCCTTATGTCCCCATATCCCCATGTCCCTTGGAGGCAGAGGAGAGCCTGCAGGGTGCTGAGGGTGCTGGAAGCTTTGCACCATGCACAGCTCCTTGCACAGCTCCTTGCACAGCTCCTTGCACAGCAGGGCCTTTGCACGGCACCTTGCACAGCTGCAAGCCTTTGCACGTCGCTCAGCACTTTGCAGAGCACCTCACACATCTTGCATAGCAGAGCTTTTTGCACAACAGTTTGTGCTTTGCAAAGCACCTGGCACAGCACTCAGCACTTTGCAGAGCACCGTGCACAGCTCTGGCACCTCACACAATCTCTTGCACAGCAGAGCCTTTGCACAAGAGCTTGCACCTTGCACAGCACCTTGCACAGCACCTTGCACAGCACCTTGCACAGCTGCAAGGCTTTGCACGGTGATTAGCACTTTGCAGAACAGTTTGCACAACCCTGACACTTCACCCGACATCTTGCACCTTTGCAGGGCCTTTGCATACAAGCTTGCACTTTGCACAACACCTTGCACAGCCAGGCCGTTGCATCTTGCACATTGCACAGGACCTCGCATAGCACCAGCTCCGTGCACAGCACCCAGTGCTTTGCAAAGTACCTTGCACAACTCTGGCACCTTGCACAACCTCTTGCATAGCGGGGTCTTTGCACAGGACCAGCACCTTGCACAACCAGGCCTTTGCATGGCACCTAGCTCCTTGCACAGCACCTTGCACAACCAGACCTTTGCACAGAGGCTTGCACAGCACCAGCAGCTTGCACAGCTCCTTGCACAGCTCCTTGCACGGCACCACACCTTGCACAGCCAGGCCTTTGCACAGCACCTTGCACACCTCTTTGCACAGCCAGACCTTTGCATGGCACCTTGCACAGCACCTTGCACAACCTGACCTTTGCACAGCACTTTGCACATCTCCTTGCACAGCAGGACCTTTGCACAGCACCAGCTGCTTGCACAGCAGGGCATTTGCTGGGCAGCTTGCACAGCACCTTGCACAGGCAGGCCTTTGCACGGCACCTTGCACAGCACCTTGCACAGCTCCTTGCACAGCCAGGCCTTTGCACAGCACCAACTCTTTGCACAGCAGAGCATTTCCACAGCACCTTGCACAGCACTTTGCACAGCCAGGCCTTTGCACAGCACCTTGCACAGCACCTTGCACAGCAGGACCTTTGCACAGCACCAGCTTCTTGCACAGCAGGGTCTTTGCAAGGCAGTGCTCAGCCCTATAGGGAAGCTGAGGCATGGTGCTGCCCCCTCCCACCCCATAACCTGTTGTCCCCTTTTGCTTTTCATTGCAGAGTGTTCAAGAAAGCGAGTCCCAACGGGAAGGTGAGCAGAGGGGAGGGGTGGGGGGGCTGGCTTGGTGTGGGGGGGACACACACACATTCGTGTCCCGTTGACCCCGTGTTGTCCCCATAGCTCACGGTGTACCTGGGCAAGAGGGACTTTGTGGACCACATCGACGTGGTGGACCCCGTGGGTGAGTGGGGCAGAGGGGACGTGAAGGGGATGCATGTCATTTTGGGTGGCTGTGCCCATTGCAAGGGGGAGAAAAGGTGGCCAGGGTGTGTCCCCAACCCTCTATTGTGTCCCCAGCCCCCATGCCATGTCCCCAACCCCATGCCATGTCCCCAACCCCAGTGCTGTGTACCCAACCCCTTATTGTGTCCCCAGCCCCGGTGCCATGTCCCCAACCCCAGTGCCATATTCCCAACCCCAGTGCTGTATCCCCAACCCTCATGTCATGTCCCCAATCCCTGTGCTATGTCCCCAACCTGATGCCATGTCCCCAGTCCCTGTACCATGTCCCCAACCCTCATGTCAAGTCCCCAACCCCAGTGCCATGTCCCCAACCCTCATGTCCTGTCCCCAACCCTATGCCAAGTCCCCTACCCCAGGGCTGTGTGCCCAACCCCTTATTGTGTCCCCAGCCCCTGTGCTGTGTCCCCAACCCTCATGTCATTTCCCCAACCCCAGTGCCACGTCCCCAGTCCCTGTACCATATCCCCAACCCCAGTGCTGTGTTCCCAATCCTCATGTCCCCAACCCCAGTGCTGTGTCCCCAACCCTCATGTCATGTCCCCAATCCCTGTGCTGTGTCCCCAGTCCCTGTACCATGTCCCCAACCCTCGTGTCCTGTCCTCAATCCCAGTGTCATGTCCCTGACTCCTGTGCTGTGTCCCCAACCCCTGTGCCATGTCCCCAACCTATGACTTGTCCCCAACCCTGTGTTGTGTTCCCAACCTCGGTGCCATGTCCCCAACCCTTGTGTCCTGTCCCCAACCCCAGTGCCGTGTCCTCAACCCTATGCCATGTCCCCAACCCTCATGTCCTGTCCCCAGCCCTATGTCATGTCCCCAACCCCAGTGTCATGTGCCCAGCTCCTGTGCTGTGTCCCCAACCCCATATTGTGTCCCCAGTCCTGTGTTGTGTCTCCAACCTCGGTGCCATGTCCCCAACCCCAGTGGCATGTCCCCAATCCCTGTGAATTGTCCCCAACCCCACTGCTGTGTCCCCAACCCTTTGCCATGTCCCCTGTCCCTGTGCCGTGTCCCCAACTCTGTGCTGCATCCTCAGCCCTCATGCAGTGTCCCCAGCCTCTGTGGCTTGTCCCAACCCCAGTGCCATGTCCCCAGTCCTCATGTCATGTCCCCAACTCGTGTGCTGTGTCCCCAACCTCTGTGCCATGTCCCAAACCCTTATGTCATGTCCCCAACTCCTGTGCTGTGTCCCCAACCCCACATTGTGTCTCCAACTCCAGTGCCATGTCCCCAACCCCGTGCTGTATCCTCAACCCCCATGCCATGTCCCCAGCCCCTGTGGTTTGTCCCCAACCCCAGTGCCATGTCCCCAGCTCCTATGCTGTGTCCCCAGTCCTGTTGCCATGTCCCCAACTCCTGTGCTGTGTCCCCAACCCTAGTGCCATGTCCCCAACCTGTTGGCTCTGCTCTTCCCTTACAGATGGAGTGGTGCTGGTTGATCCTGAGTACCTGAAGGAGAGGAAAGGTAATGGCCCCATCACGATGTCCCTGAGATTAGGGACATGGGGGTGGCACCTGGGGCTTTGCTGGACCCTTGGCTGAGGGTTTCTGGGTGCCCACTGGCACATGGGGCAGTGCCACCTGTCCCCAACTGTCACAGCACATCCTGGGTGCCACCACCTCTTCCCAGTGCCCCCTCTGCTGCTCCTGGTGGGGCTGGGATGAGCCGTGATGCCACCACACCATGGAGCCACTGTGCCACACTGTCACCATGCCCCTGTGTCACCATGCCGTGGTATCACCGTGTCATGGTGCCACCATACCACTGTGCCACTGTGCCCTTGTGCCATCGTGCCACGATGCCACCATAATATTGTTCCACTGTGCCATGGTCCCATAGTACCACTGTGCCACTGTGCCATGATGCCACCATACCACTGTGCGAGGATCCCTTGGTAGCATGGTGCCATCCTACCATTGTACCTCAGTGCTGTGATGCCACTACATCATGATGCCACTGTACCACGTCACCACAGTGCCATGATGCCACCATACGATATCACCACAGTGCCATGATGCCACCATACCACGTCACCACAGTGCCATGATGCCAGTGCTCCACAGTGCCACCTCACCTCGATGCCACAATGCCCCCATGCCATCACACCACCAGATTGATACCACAATGCCACGATACCACCACACCACCGTGTCACCGTGCCATGTTGTCGCCATGCCATGTTGTCACCTCACCCCTCCTATGCCTGCAGTCTTCGTGACGCTGACGTGTGCGTTCCGTTACGGCCGTGAGGACCTGGATGTGCTGGGCCTGACGTTCCGTAAGGACCTGTTTGTGGCCAATGCTCAGGCCTTCCCCCCCGTGGCTGAGGACAGAAAGCCCCTCACCCGCCTGCAGGAGCGCCTCATCAAGAAGCTGGGCGAGCATGCCTACCCCTTCACCTTCGAGGTGGGGAGCTTGGGGGGCTGGCACTGCTTTGGGGTGCAGCATCGTGTTGGGGCGCAGCGTCACGTTGGGGTTCAGCATCACCTTGGGTTCAGCATCACCTTGGGTGCAGCATGACTTTGGGTGCACCATCACTTTTTGGGGTTCAGCTTCAGCTTGGGTGCTGCATCACTTTGGGTTCAGCATCTCTGGGTTCAGCATCACTGTGGGGTTCAGTACCAGTCACTTTGGGGTTCAGCATCACTTTGGGTGCAGCATTGCTCTAGGGTGCAGCATCACTGTGGGGTTCGTACCAATCACTTTGGGGTTCAGCATCACCTTGAATTTAGCACTGCTTTGGGGTGCAGCATCACTTGGGGTGCAGAACCACGCGGGGTTTCAGCATCATCTTGGGTGCAACATCATTTTGGGGTTCAGCATCACTTAGGTTGCAGTTCCATTTTGGGGTGCAGCATCGCTTTGGGATACAGCATCACTGTGGGGTTCAGCATCACTTGGAGTTTAGCAGTGCTTTGGGACACAGCATCACATTGGGCTTCAGCATCACTCTGAGGTTCAGTACCTCTTAGAGGTTCAGCATCACTTTGAGTTTAACACTGCTTTGGGGTTCAGCATTGCTTTGGGGTGCAGCACCATTTTGGGGCACAGGATCACTTTGGGTACAGTACCACACGGGGGGTTCATCTCTTTGGGTTCAGCACTACATTGGGGTTCAGCATCCCCCTCGGGTCTGTCCTTTTTGGGGTCTAGGGATGCAGCATCACCCTGGGACTGCAAGGGGCACAGGGCTTTTTGGGATTCCCACTGTCTCTTGGGGCTGGGGGGCAGGGGGTTGCTGGAGGTGTGGGGTGGAGCTGCAGTGCTGCAGGATCAGTGAATCCAGTGGGGAAACTGAGGCACGGGATGGTCTGTAGCCTTGGGCAGAACCCTGCTGTGTCTGTGCCACCGTGGAGGCAGTTCCTCCTTCCTCTCCACGCTTTAATTGCTGTGATAATTGGCTGCATTTGTTCCAGCACAGTCTGGGAGCCGTGGAGGAGCGGGAGGAAAATTCCATCGCGGTACAGAAGCGCTGCAAAGGGGTGGGGGGGGATTGGGCAGAAATTGAGGGGCAAAGCCCCCCCAGTGAGGGGCACCACAGGGCACCCGGTGACATTTTCAAGCCGTGAGCTGCCCACTAAACCCCACGGGCTCAGCGGGATCTTAGCAGGCAAAACAGCCTTAATTCTTCCAAATCCTCCAGATTAAAGCCAAAAAAAAACTTAAAACCCCCCAAAAGGTGCATTACTGCAGTGCATGATCCCCTGGGGCCCACGGTGCTGAGCCATGGCCTAAAAGGAGCAGGCAGCATACAATGGCTTCCCATCCCAGGGGGTGTCACTTCACCTGGGGAGGGGTTTGGGGTTGGGGTCCCCACTCCTGACCCTATTTTGTGCTGCAGATCCCCCCCAACCTGCCCTGCTCTGTCACGTTGCAACCCGGCCCCGAAGACACAGGGAAGGTAAGGAGCAGTGCTGCATCCTCATGTCACCCTGCTGTGTCCCTCCTGGTGATGTGATGGGGAACCCAATGGGTCCCATATGGGTTTTGGGGTGTGGAGGGGTTGATCTGCCCCCTCTTCCACACCCCACACCACTGTCCAGGCCTGCGGTGTGGACTATGAGGTCAAAGCTTTCTGTGCGGAGAACCTGGAGGAGAAAATCCATAAGAGGTAAAGGGAGAGGTGGCCTGGGATGGAGTGAGGGTGGAGGTGTCCTTTGGGGTGGGAAAGGGGTGGAGATGTCCTTTGGGGTGGAATTAGGATGAAGATGTTCTGTGGGATGGGATGGGGTTGGTGATGTGCTGTAGGGTAGGGTTGGAATTGAGGTGTCCTTTGGGGTGGGACTGGGATGGAGATGTCCTCCAGATTTGGAATGGAATGGGAATGTCCTCCTGAATGGGACAGGGTTGGAGATGTCCTTTGGAGCGGGGCTGGGATGGTGGTATCCTCCTGGATGGTTGGTGATGTCCTTTAGGGTGGAACAGAGATGGAAATATCTCTTAGGATGGGAATGGAACAGAGGTGTCCTATGGGGTGGGACAGGATAAAGGTGTTCTTTAGGATGGGATTGGGATGGTGAAGTCCTCCAGGATGGGATAGGGAAGCAAACGCTCTCCAGAATGGGAAGAGGTGGAGATATTCTTTAGGACAGGAAAGGAAAGGAGATGTTCTCCTGGATGGGAGAAGACTGATATGTTCCTTAGGGTGGGACTGGGATGGAGGCATCCTGTGGGATGGGGAGGGATGAAGATTTTCTTTTAGGATGGAGGTGGAAAATGGAGATGTCCTCCAGAATGGGACTGAGACGGAGAACTCCTCTCAGAGGAAACAGGATTGGTGATGTCCTTTAGGGTAGGGTTGGGATGGAGATGGCCTTTTGGGTGAACTGGGATGGAGATATCCTCTTCCAAGTTGGAAAGGGATCAAGATGTTCTTTAGAGTGATGTAGGGGTGGAAATGTCTTCTGGGATGGAGCAGGGCCAGCCCTTCCCTGGGGACTCACCAAGCTGAGACGAAGAGAAAAGAAGTATTTGACTGAAAACACGTCAAAAAAGAGGGCAGAGCTGTGGGGCAGAGCTGCAGGCATTCCCCTCGTTGTCCCCACAGGAACTCTGTTCGCTTGGTCATCCGCAAAGTGCAGTACGCCCCGGAGCGCCCCGGCCCCCAACCCATGGCAGAGACCACCAGGCAGTTCCTCATGTCAGACAAACCGCTGCACCTGGAGGCGTCCTTGGACAAGGAGGTGGGAATGGGGGCTGAACTGCTGGAGAGGAACTATGCAGAGAAGAACCTGGGGTCCTGGTGGCCAACGGTTGGCCAGTAGGGTGACCGTGAGGCAGCAGTTTGTCCTGGTGGCCAAGAAGGCCTAGGGTGTCCTGGTTGGTCAGCAGTTGACCACAGGCTGACCATGAGCCAGCAATGTGTTCTTGTGGCCAAGAAGGCCAGTGGTGTTCTGATTGGTCAACGGTTGGCCAACAATTGACCATGAACCAGCAGTGTGTCCTGGTGGCCAAGAAAGCTGATGGTGTCCTGGTGGGCCAACAGTTGACCAGTGATTGACCACAGGGGATTTTGCAGCCTTCTTGAAGGAACCTGCTTCGGGGGGGTTGGCCTGGATCACCTCCAGAGGTCCCTTCCAACCCTGCAGCTCTGTACACCTTCTCCCCACAGATCTACTACCACGGGGAGCCCATCAGCGTCAACGTCCACGTCACCAACAACACCAACAAGACAGTGAAGAAGATCAAAATCTCAGGTGAGGATGGGGACCACCCCCCCACAGCCAATCCCTGTCCCCTTGGGGTCCCCTCCCTGATCCCCCCACTCTCCATCTTTCCCCCAGTCCGCCAGTACGCCGACATCTGCCTCTTCAACACCGCCCAGTACAAGTGTCCCGTGGCAGTGGAGGACGCCGAGTGAGTGACCAGGCTTGGGATCCCTGCTTGGGGTCCAGGGATCCAGTGTTTGGGGTCCCCAGTGGATGACACCCACTCTTGTCCCCAGTGACATGGTGGCTCCGAGCTCAACGTTTTGCAAAGTCTACACCCTGACCCCCTTCCTTGCCAACAACCGGGAGAAGCGTGGGCTGGCACTGGATGGCAAGCTGAAGCATGAGGACACCAACCTGGCCTCCAGCACGCTGTGAGCCACCTGTTGTGTCCCCCTCCCACCCTAGTGTCACCCCTGGGTGATGACTGTTGGGGTCCACGCTCATCCCTGTCCTGTGCCCCATCCCGCAGGCTGAGGGATGGAGCCAACAAGGAGATCCTGGGCATCATCGTGTCCTACAAGGTGAAGGTGAAGCTGGTGGTGTCACGAGGAGGGTGAGTGGTGGGCACCTCTCAGTGGGGGCTGCAGCCCCTTTTTGCTTTGCATTGAGCTTGAAATCAGCCTTGGTTTGTCCCCATGGGATGGGACATTCCTTTGGGACTCCAACAGCACTGGAGATGGATTGGGGGTGGCATTGGAATGGGGATGGGGGTTGAATTGGGATAGGGATAGCATTGGAATGATGATGGTTTGGATGGGATGGGGATGGCATTGGGATGGAATGGGGATGGCATTGGGGTGGGATGGTGGTGGAATTGGGATGGAATGAGATTGGCAGTGGCATTGGGATGGGAATGGGGTTGGCATTGGGATGGGCATGGCATTGGTATGGGATAGGGATGGCATTTGAATGGAATGGAGTTGGCACTGGGATGGAGATGATGTTGGGATGGGAATGGGGTTGACACTGGGGCGGGGATGGGATAGAGATGGGATTAGGGTGGGAAGCGAACGGCATTGGGATGGAATGGGGTTGGCATTGGGATGAGAATGGGGTTGGCATTGGGATGGGGGTGGGAATGGCATTTGGATGGAATAAGAATGGCATTGGGGTGGGAATGGGGTTGGGAATGGGATTGAGAAGGAGTTGGGGTTGGGGACAGCTCTCCCAGTGTCACCCATGGTCCCCTTGTCCCCATCTGCCCCCATGCTTGCTGGGAGGGTGGGCAGATATGGAGATCAATGACTAATTAATTAATTCTCACCTCCTTTGACCTTCTGCAGCCTGCTGGGAGACCTCGCCTCCAGGTAACTCCTGCTGTCCCCATGCTGTGCTGCCCTGTCCCCTCATTCCCCTTTGCCCCCCAACATTTGGATCTGCCCCCCAGTTCTGGGCACCAATCCCTTGATTTTGCTGCAGGTGATGCTGCAGGTCACACATTTACCCAAGTATGATGGGTTTTGAGGTTGTTTTTTTTTTGGGGGGGTGGCATGCATGGAGTGCACACCGTGCTCCACAACCACTGCTGTCCCACACACTGGGGACTGCAGTGTGCCCCATACCCCCACCCCAACCCCAAGGATTTCAGCCCAAGCTTCTTGTAAGCAGCTTTGCCACGCTGATCCCCTTCCTCGTGCTCATGCAGCACATGGACTGAGGGATGGGGGGGAGGGTCCCATAGCTCTGAGCCCACCCCACTGGGCCGGGCTGAAGCTCTAGTAACCATGGCTCTCTCTTTGCAGTGACGTGGCAGTGGAGCTGCCCTTCACCCTGATGCACCCCAAACCCCGAGAGGAGCCGGCGCATCGGGACGGTGAGCGTTCCCCCTGGCTGCAATGTGGACCTCACAGCACGACCCCACCCTCTCCCCCCCCCCTCTAATTTGCAGTCCAGGGGGTGTAAAGCTAACCTCGTGCCTTCATTCCTTCTGTTCAGTTCCAGAGAACGAAGCTCCCATAGATACAAACCTGATAGAGCTTGACACAAAGTAAGAGCCCCCCCCCTCCCCAATCTTCCTGGGGTCCTCGTGGGGGTGCACATCCATCCCACACAGCTTGGCATGGCTGCACGCTGCCCCAACCCACTAACACAAGCAGGGGGAGCAGTGCCCACCCCGCATGCTGACCCTAATGCACGCTGCTCCTTTCTCTGTTCTCTTCCCCCCACCCCAATTCCCACCCCCCCTGCATGGCTTTTGCATAACAGGAGAAGCACAGTAAGGAAGCACCCGTCCCCATGTCGTGGTGCGTCCCTGGGATGTCCCCATGCTGTCCCCATAGTGTCCCCATGCTGTCCCATAGTGTCCTTTGGGTGTCTGTGTTGTACCATTGGGATGAAGCCCCATCTCTGCACCTGGGCTGCAATGGGAGATCCTTGGGGAGGGGGAAGGGGGGGAAAAGGAGGAGATTTGGGGGAGCTTTGGTGCAGCTGTGGTTTGGGGGAGGATTTGGGGCTGCAGGGAGAGGTTTGGGGGAAGACTTGGGGCTGCTGTAGATCTCAGTGCAGCAGTATGAGGTTATGGGGTGGCTTTGGTGCAGCAGTGTGGTTTGGGGGAGGATTTGGGGCTGCTGTAGGAGATCTCAGTGCAGCAATACGAGGTTATGGGGTGGCTTTGGGGCTGCAGGAGGAGTTTTGGGGGTTGTTTTGGGGCTGGAGTAGATTTTGGGGCTGCAGTTGGAAGTTTTGGGG